ACGTTTCAATAGATGGTAACGTGTTTGCCTAACGAAGCCTAACCGAAGCTTGCGGGTGTAAACTGTGTCCTTTGGATAAGATGCTTCGACTTTTTTTCAGCATTGCAGTTAGCTTGTTCAGGGGTCAACCGACACATTAAAATTGACATGCGTCGTGCAGCTTGGATCACTTTAACCTCTTCACGTCCTTGGCCATATATGCAGATGTTTAGTTTTGTATAATTATAGTTACTGTCGATAATAAAAGGAACAAAAATTTGATAATAACAAAAAGAAATCGTCCCTAAAGAGGTTAAGGTATGTGCTCATGTCACTGTTGATTGACTATTAACACTTTAATGGCCGCTCACACAACATGTGTGTGATGCTACCACCGAAGGTTATTGGCCAGTAGTACTACACTTTCTGTGTGATGATTAATGAACGTAAGTAAGTATGATATATTCGGCTGAGGTATTTCTTCATGCCTTATGCGCGAAACATACAAAAGTCATAGTTATTTTATTTCTGGAGTAGTTAGCTGTAATGGCGACGAACGTCGAAGTATCCTAACCAAAAAGTACGGTTTACCCGAAAGCCTCGGTTAGCATCAGCCACGAAGAACCGTAAAATCCTCGAATATCGTAAGTTAGAAAGATCGTTAACAAAATTCATGGCAATCTTTCGGATACCCCATGGTGAGACTTCGACAACGAATCGCTATGTTCTCGAGCCTCGCACGATTAAACTTTAGTTTGGCACTTGCATCCTTGAACGCTTGCTGTTGTCTTTCCTTTAACGCAAACTTATACGTAACGCTATACTTTCGGTTTGTTCGCTCTCTACCCTCCTTGTTCGCTTAAAGACTTGTACACTCGATGACAGTGACCGAGGGTTAAGTCACCAGCTTAGGTAAAGTACACTTATGAATAGATGGAAGCCAAGGAGAATTAGATCTCTGATTTAATTTCATCTATCTTAGGTCTCATCTTATCAACATACTTTACCAAACCAAGACGTCAGTTGTTTCATTAGAAAGAATATTTGCAATAACATTGGTAAAATTGCAAACGAAATGGACTCACTTTATAATATCGTGCAAGTATTCAAAGAAACTGCCTGATGGTTACTAAAAGAATTCCGTAACAATTCATTGATTTTTGAAAAAGATTTTAAGAAACTTCGTCCTTGAATTATTCCACTGAGACACGATGGGTATTATTTAAAAATGGAACATTATTAATACCCATATAGCAGTGGTTGTGGAAGTTTAAGTCGAGCTATATTATTATGTATAGTTCATAAATTGCAGTCTGCAAAATGTAACTGGTCTTAGAATTAGGGACTTTCCCTTTTGAGAGCATCGATCACTGTCTCTGGACGTTCTAACGTTATTCAACCAACTTTTTTTCTTCTTTTTCTTTCCTTTGTTTTTTATTTTGCTTCGTTTCTGTCCATCCATGATCTTATGTAACTCAGGCCTAGCTTCGTTTATCGTTACGTCGTTTATAGTTACGATTTGCGTTTCGACGCGTTGACTGACGCACCTGTATATGTAGTTTAACATGTTACTCTAACGTTGGCACAGTGTTCATCCTTCCAATGTATACTTGCAGGAAGCAGGACCTCTCAGACGTCGAAAAAGACATATTACTTCTACAGGCTCTCTTATTCGTTTAGAAACTCCCAATATATTAAAGAAAATTTCTACTTGACGTAAGAAATAATGTTTCAAGGAAAAAGAATAGTATTATAGTTTGACTTTTCTAACCCATTATTTATATCTCCAAGGTGTGATTCAATCCTACTATAAATACGTAACAATCGTTGTTTAAATGTCATTTGATTTTTAAAGCAATCCTGGGAAGAATAGAAGATTACAAGAATGGTAGGCGAAATTAAAATCAACGTGCAAATTAAACCCGATAAAAGGCGGCTCTTTCCAGCTAAAAGTTGTTTCCCGTAATGTTTCGGTAAAAAATAAAAAATATCAAGCGTCGCGTGGAGTTTCAAGACGTACGTGATATTACATTTAGAATTTCTATAACTTTTCAATATTCCGATGGACTGAATGGGTAATCCTGCATAACTCCGAGCGCGAAGTTTGAAAAAGTAACTTCAGGGCCTCGTTAAAATTAATGATGTCCTCGCTTACCGAGAATTGATGCGGCAGTCAACGCGTTAATAATTAAACGCAAAACTTTTAACGAAAGGTCAATTTTATAAAACTTAATCGCGCATATATTCAACATATATATGTACGTATCGACGTATACGTAACAGTTTCCATATATATATTTATTTATATATGTATATAACATCACGCTTATTTTCACCGTGTAGTTTCCTTCGTACGTTCTCTCTTTCTCCGTTATTCGTCGTGTTTCTCCTTTTTTTCCGGTTTGTGTTGCGAGCTGACAAACGTTCAACAACGTACGTTCGCTAGACTTAATCGAGTAAATGTTAATAATAATAAAACGTGTAGTAAATATAATGTGTATGCATACACGTATGTATATAATATATATGTATATAATGTATAATTCTCACATCGTGTACGTCGACAAAACCATTTAAATATTACCTAGTAAAGGTCGTAATCGCTTTACACTTTCCGACTAGATCGAAATTATTGATTAGGGTTATCGTTTAATATTATTATTATCATTATCGTTAATTATGTTAGAAATTTGGCGCATTTTCTTTTGGCATTTAGTCGTTTTCGCGTCGATAAATTCGTCCGATTTTTGAGCCAGGCGAGCGTATAAATCTCTTTACTTATGCAGTGACGCGTGTACTGCTTGCTTAGGGTTGCCAAACATCTTTTTCTTCTGGAAAAGACAATCCATTTTCCACCTCTTTTCGTACTCGTCAATTTTGAGAAAATGTTGCGGAGAAAAAAATGTGGAAAAGGATAGATAACCAGAATTCCTTGTGAATGAATTAGTAATATTGGGCAATTTAGTAGCTAGTTTACTCGTAAACTATACTTTGTAGAGATATATGTTACATTTATATTAATAATTATATGGATCGAACACCTATATTTTATTCCAATGTTTTCGTGTATTATAATAGGAGAAAGTTTAACCGTAGAATAAAGAAAAATAGTGGCAAAAAACGACTAATTAAAACGTAAAAATAAATAATAACCTCATTTTTATTTGCCCTGTGTGTATATATTACGAATGGTTTACGCTAAACTAGCTATCAAATGGTCCACCAATACTCTCAATTTATAAATTTATAATAAATCTATTTGCATAACATTCTGCATTCTTATCATTTTCGACTTGTATTATCTCTAAATAAATAGAATCCCCAAATTCTTGCCATAATAGATATTGTTAAGCATGGTAACCATGGTAAATTATGCTGTTCTAGTATATATTCTATGTAATTGGCAACCCTACGCTTGCACCACCGTTCCGCTCGAAAATTGTTATTGCGATGCATGAACGATCAAATTCTCCGTTTATCGATGACGATGTAGAAACATTCGATGAGAATGTGAAACGGTGAGCACAACTTTTTTTGCTCTCAGCATCGAATTTCGCGACCAATACGAGCATTGGCTGTTCGCGGAGCGTTTTGTACAGAAATGTTCCAGCTTTATACAAAAAGAGAAAATAACGACGGTGACAACGATCGCGCGTGACTTATTCCGTTAATATTGTCCATAAATTACATTCGTTACTATCGTTGAAACAATTTCTTCTTTCGCGGTGAAGAACGAATGAATCACATGAGGCGTGTAAAATCGAAACCTGCTGCTTCAACATTTATTTTGTGACCGAGACGTTGTGTTTTGTTATGATACATTTCTTGGAAAACATGTTGGCAATTAAAAATAATTCAAATATAAAATTCTTACAGGTTACATCTCGTTATCTCTCTGCATAAATACTCAAGCTTAACCCTTTGCTGCTGTGAATTTTATTGCTGAAATAATTTTTTTATCAAAAATTGTTTCGAAGTTCAACTTTTATGGAGTAACTGTAACTCATTCTAAGTAATAAATATGATAGTTGAATCTGCAGGGATATTCGGTGGTCCTATTATAAATATCCAATCTTGTAGAGTTTTTTTTAATGAAATTTACACGATTCTTATTATTGGGTTCTTGCTTGCGCTCATTATGCAATTGAGAGTTAATCCAATTCAGGAAGCACGTTTTACCATTATTGTATTTACATAAAAAATGACCAGTATTATTCCTTCTCGTTAATAGGGGAAGGTTACCACGCTTGGACCTCGTTGATGAATAGTTAAAATTAGTACAGTGATGTTATTTATCACATGTATTTCCAACGTTAATCGCGACGTTACATTATGCGGTCGATTTTAATGTTCGGAAGTGCAACAATTGGTTTAGTAATATTTCACATAGAAAAGCTTTCCAAAATTTATTGAACGTTACAGGTAAATATAATATAAGTTTTCAAACGATTACATTTAATGACGAAAGCATTAGATTAAGAATTCAAGAAGCTAACAGCTTTTTAGATTATATTGAAGTTAAGTTCGAAGAATATTTTATTCCAAACAAAGAGATTTCACATAACGAATCTGTTACCGTAAGAACTATCATATTTTATAACACACGAGTCAAAAGACCAACAAAACCAATAAAATATACCATACAGAAATAAACGATAGACAAATCTGTATAAAATATTCACTACCATGTTCAATGAATAATATGCACTCAGCTTAAACAAATTCGTGCGAATAAAATTTACGCGTTTTTTAGGCAACAATCATCTAGACTAGAGCCCCTTATATCATGTGTTCACTTGTATTTCACGTTGTCCACAAAATACACATGACACGGATAGTCACGTGTACATATACGTGAATTACGAGAATAATGGGAATCACACGGAAGAAATATCAGATGCTCTCAATTTTGGATATAGATACCTACATATGAATTTCGACATTTTACAATTCTTTTTTATTATGACAAATGTATCATAAACCAACAAAATGTGTTTTAGAGTGTTTTATGTGTTTCTCGATAAATGAATTATTTGGTTGCTTTCGGCGAAAGAATATAGTTTAATTCAATCAAACATTTGAAATATAGAAATAATTTTGTAGTTTTTGTGTTTTGAATACTAGCCATTTTCACTTCATTCGTTACACTCAACTGTTAAAAAAACATCTGTTGTTTAGCGTGCAGTAGGAAGTATCATATTTTCAAAGGACCATGGAATTAAAAATATTTTCGAAATTAATACATTTTTTCAATTTATAAAGATATGAAGAAATTTCAACAATATATCAAAACCTGAGCATTGTATTAGGTTACAATAAATATATGCAGAAGTCAAGTTTATAATACATTTATCATAAGTCTTCAAAAAAATTGTACAAATATCAAAATTTACAAGTATTTGTACCCATAACTGCGAGTGTCTGAGATTTCCTTCGAATGACTAGTGACTACACAATCGTGTGATTATTCCATTATTCAGAGATTTACGAGATTCGCGATGTTATGCGAATAAGTCGCATGAATTGCTCTTCGCGTGTACACGTGTATTTAAATTCGCGTACAAAATCGAAGGCTTCAGTCTGAACGCGAGTTACCCAAAAATACTTTAAACCAGCGCGAGTACTATATCTGTGGGAAATACGGCCGCAAAGTTAACATTTCAATTTCAGAGAATGTCGAAGATGGTCCAACTTGAGCAACCTTCCTCTACGCACACCAAATACACGAATCGAGCAGAGTTTACTTAGAGGCAAGAACGTAATTAATATAATTAAGATCGGAAGAGGACGCACGAGTACTCGTCGAAGAAGCGTGAATCAAGACCTTGGTGCAAGTTCTCGACGTTTCGCGTTCGCTGGGCAAAGTTGTGGCTATGCGACCCTGTACATCGGAGGCGGGAGTTTGTTCTTCGTTGAGTTCCACGTCGATTCGTTTCGTCTTCAACTCGCGGTTCGCGTTAATCTTCGTTCAAGCGTTTGCACGTGAAGGAGGCGCACGCGTCGAACGTCGCCTCTTCGTCACGGATAAAACGACTGGGATGGCTCTCCGACGGGTTTGGGTCACTTTCGGGTTCGCGATGTGGCAGAGTGGACTAACGGAGGGCCGATTTCGGAATGTTTACGCGTTGGTCGGCTGCTACTGAATGGAACATGTCAACGGATGCGACAGAGCGTGGTCCAGCAGGATCGGAGTGCCTGCAGCCAATTCCGGTCTCGCGTCACCGCAATCGTCGTCGCAGTCGAAGTAGTTGCTCTGGAAAGAAACGAGAAAACATGTTACTTTGGGTTGTAAAGATGGCAAGGTGATACTTGTATTATTTATAGAGTTCCGTGTTTCATGCTACTTATTTATTTCTTGTTTTCATTTAACGACACCAGTATTGTTTATCATATATCATATTTTTTATTTCATAAACCTATTGCACATGTTTGGAGATTGAACGCAAGTAAACGCAAATTAAAGGGGAAATTTCTTTTGCTATTCACCTCACCCCCACCTAATCTCATTTCATCAAACGAAATGTGGATAAAATGACTATGAAAATTACGTTAAGTTAGACTTAGAATCAGCACCCCCATAAACCCCTGCATACCAAGTTTCACTTAATTCATATCACTTTTAACACTGTATTCACCATATTAGATCCGCCATTTTGAATTTCTAAATTTTGAGTTCAGATTTGGAATCAGCGATTCCGAAAATCCCTATATACCATTTTCATCTAAATTCAGTCATTTTTCGCATTTTGTGTCGTTATGTTGTATCCGCCATTTAAAATTTTTAAATTTAGCCAACAAATTTGTTTTGTACTTGTTCTTCTAGCAGATTACAAGTATACTTGTTAATTCGGTGTAGAAATTAATTTTCTGCTTTTAAATCAGAAGATGTTAGTATTAAGTCATTTTAGAATTTAAAGATTCTAGGAAAAAGTATTAATCCGAATTAACTTGATTTACACTAATTCCGAATTTCTTATTACGGGATTTCCATAGAACAGGGTACAAATTAAACGCGCTATGGGAGAGTTCACTGTACCTATGCTACGAACAAGAAGGGAGTTAGCTAGAAAGCTAAACGTCAATTTCTCAACATTTCTGCGCAAGCTTCCACCGGTACGGGAATCGTTTCATTACGATTCCGAAATCCCCGTGAAATCGTGAAATGTACACAGCAATCTCCGTGAGACAGCAATTACAAAGATGGCCGGATAAACGATAAAATTTTTAATTAAATTTGGACACCCGTTTCCATCTTTCCCGTTTCATTTCCACCCATTAACGTTCTCAAATGGGCAAGCTGGCGGACCATGTATCTCTGATTAAAGCGGAACAAGCGAATGTTTACGTGTAACCCTGAGAAAAAGCTCGGTGCCTGAAAGCACTTCGTTTAAGGTATAATTGGCGCCGCGAAGGTCAGGTGAATTTGATCTTAATTCGAGACAATGTTGGCTTAATTTCGAAGATTATCCCTGCTGATTCGCACTAATTGCACGGTCGGTGCGAGCGGTTCTGTAAATGGATGCAATTACACATCGATACTCGGTCTCGTTACAGAGATTACAGGACATTGCGGAAAGAATTCAATTATTTCTGCAACTTTTTCTGTTCAAAGAGTACTGTTTTGTTAACATTTGAGGTCACTATCAGTGTTTGAGTCGGACTTCAGTTATCGACACTACATTAATGTTCTGTATTTATGATTTATAACGCTTTAATCGATCGAATTAATAGAAATTATTTCATACTTTTAAGCAATTATATCTGGAATTGGTGAGTATTCATATCAATTAACTACAAATTATTTCATACTTTTTAGTACAGTTTTAATGTTTTTCGAACTCGGTTATATTTTATTTCCAAAAATTATTTTATAACACGTTTATCACCACGTCACCCATATATGGATGACAGTGCTTTTCACTGAAGAACAAACAAAATTAATTCTGAATCTTAAGTATCAAAAACAATAAATCTGAATGAAATTTTTAAACTTCAACGAAGTTATAAAAATAAATAATACATAAATGTTTGATTATGTAGTTTCCAATAGTCAGAAAACGAAACTTAATCACAGTAGAAATTTTCAAGAGTATTAATTTGGCAGTTCAACGTATGAAAAGTGTCGTTCCAATGTTGTGTCCCCTTAAGTCACCTTATTTTCGATGTATAAGGCGATTTTTACGATTCGCTCATGCAAAATGATCATCTTCGTCAAAAGCAGGTCGATAATCGTCTACTTTAAAATGTCAATTCCCCACCAAGGGATAATATCGCCCACGTTGAGAAACACTGATGAGTCTACTATCACAACCCAGGGCAAAATCCCTCGTAATACACACCATTCCAATAAAATAAATTTCTTCAAGTAAAAGACAAAGTAAAGAAACGAAGATACCTACCTGGCAGTCGATGCATCGGCAGCTGTCGGTCAGCGAACAGGTGAGGCCGAGGATCTCGACAGCCTCTTTGTAGAGTTCCGCGCTAGATTTGCGTTGCCTCGGTGGCGAGGTCGGTGCGCTGACTATGCCCGTACCCGACGGTCTTCTGCCGCTCTTCAACCTTGAAGAGGACTCTCGAGACAAGGAGGAGGTCGACGTCGATCTTCTCGGCCGATTGTCGCTGCTGAGCAACGCTCGACCCGCTGGCGAGGCGAACAGTTGCAACATGTCCATGTCCTGCGGTCGAGTGCGATTATTAGTCGATGTTGCCATGTTACACGGCCGCGATATCGGTTCGAGGAATATCGTATCGAACGATTGCTTTCGTAACAAGGGGGTATTCCATTCTCCGATGATCTACGTATCCGATCGGGGTCCTCGAACGAGGAAACGGGGTGATGCAATTACCGATAAGGACGCTATGGTATGTAGACAGTCCACGAATTACACGGAATTCCGTAAACGAGGTAGAACCTCGATGATCCGAATTAATTTGGGATCATCGGTGTTCGGATAAGAGAATCTTCGGATGATAGAATATTTTTTGTACTTCAGGTGCAATAATCGATTTATCAAGATTTCAGTAATAGAATAAAATGAAATATGAAATGAAATTCAATTTTTTGTACTTTCTTGATGTTGATATTCATGTATATTTTTCAAAAAGGAGAACGTATTGATAATAAAAGTCACAAATACTGAAATTGAATGTAACTTTTGGGGTAAGATAGGCTTAGAAAGCTATATTGCGTTTTATTTACAAATTGCATTGTCTATGGTTTCATTTTTCAGGGCTTCCACAGTTTCTCGACTAGTATTTTTAATGTTCGTAATTGCTGATTTGCCAATACAATACTCTTTCGCTAAAGTAGTTGCATTTTTGCCGTACTGAAGTTCTTTATTTTCTGACGATCGGCACCACACGTTTTCGTAGCGGCGATTTACAGTGGTCTGAAACCTCGGGAAGCTGCCCAAGAGTCGAAAAAATCTTTGGATTTATATATGAATTTGCACATCAGAATTTTTCAAGTTGCTGATTCCAAATTTGAAGTTAAAATTAACAAATTTAAAGTATTAAATTCAATGTGACCAATTTATTTTCCAGTCGACCGTTGTATTTATATAATGTATCAGTATAAACAAATTTTCGATGTTACCTATTTCGGATTTGACGTCGAGAATACAATATTTAAAATGGCGGACCTATTATAATCAATTTATTCTCTAATTATGGTTTCAGATCAAGAAATTTGCTTTTCTTCAGAGATTACTTCAGAAGGTAACAAATATCATGAAAAGTTTATAAAAGAATGTATTTCTACTCTTAAAGTTTTTGAAACAAACAAAGCTCTTCCATAAATTATAACTTACAACCAAGTAGCTTCCTTTGAGTCAGTTGCTAATAACTCTATAATGTGTTTGATGCGACTATAACATCTGATATAAGAAAAAAAAAACAACCGTAATCGTGAGTCCGTTAACGAAGCATAGTCAGAAGTTAGAAAGAGCGAATGAATCTTAAATCGAGTTACTCGACCATGATAATTTTCGCAACACGTCGAATCAATGGCGTTTCACGCGACGCATTCCTCCAACAAGACGATTCCGCCAACAAGCTCCACGGGGCTCACTGATTAGCCTTTTTCGAAGGTGTTTGTCGCTTTCGCGTTTCTGCTTCGTCGAGTCTCGTTAGTCTACCAGAGGACGGCGGAACAAGTCGCACCGGAAAGGCATTATTCTCTTAACGAGGTAAGACGCACTCGCGAGTGCCTCGTCCTTTCCTGCTGTCTCATTCGTTTCATATCGGCGAGAGAACTCTTTGAGACTTTCCACCGCGAGGTCGCCCACGGCGAAAGGGATTTTCTAACGATGCTGCGACAAGCATCGCCGCGCTAAAAAGTCCGTCGTCCTCTCTCTTTCTTGAATGCCACGTAAAAGAAGCATCCAAAGGGGAACGTGACGAGGTCTTTGCACGCGGTTCATGCAAAGACACGCTTTTCCTTCGTTCTTCGACCTACTCCCGTTCAAGTTCTTTGAGTCGCGTCGCGGTGGTCACGGATCTCGGAACGATTAAAATTACGCACGTTAATCAAGGCACTTAAAATTGTTATTAAGAAGGGACGTTTGCGAGCACGGAAGTTCAGAGAATGTTCAAACACCGCATGGAATTGGAGTTCATCCGTGACATACAATTTTCAGTTAGTGCAAGAATGAGGTTTAAGGGAGGGAAATGAGTCTTTAGGAGATTTGGTTTCGTCTAAAACGTCTAAGAAAATTGTTTATATACTTATATAATATTATTCTTCTTATTGATACGTCTAAATTGTCATGGAAAATTTTGTGCTTCTTCGGTTGCTCATTTTTAGTATTTTTTTTCTGTCTTTTATCGATAATCATTTGTTCACAGATTGGTACAAATAAGAAGGGAGAACCAAAATTTTTTTTCTAAATTTATCAGTAACTTCAAGTGTTCTTGACGTATCTGGATTATTAAATATAAAAATCCTATATCTGACTGAAATTATCTGCATATATTAGGCGTACAAAATTAATTGCCGGCTCCTAGCTTCCACCAACCATAGTATCCATTTGTATATGAATTGTTTCTTGTAATTATTTTATTTTGACATGTGATTTATTACCTGTAAAACATGTTATCAAATTTGATCTTACTGCGAGTATAGCCTAAAAATCGGCTGTAAACACGCTATTGTTTAAAAAACAATATTCAAGGCACTGCCTTCTTTTTGCAATTCAACTCAAAAAAAAACTGAGGCAAGAAACAGGCTTCGTGATAAAAAGCGAATTCTGTAGATTGTCGATTTGAACTGAATTCATCGGTTTCAAACTACTTTTCGGTATGAAATCTGACAATTGCCTGAGAAATGACAGACATGTGTGGAAAGTAATGGAGATTACTTTAACGTTTATGTTTGAATTTGTATTTTACGATAATATACAATTTGAGAGGTCTTAACAACCCACATATCATTTTTGCGTTTTCGATATCTGGTTTGAAATGATTTTCAGAAATTCACGAAATTAGAGGATTCTACAAATGGGCTTGAAAATCTTGGTAAGGCCTTGCGCCTTTAAGCCGTCACTGGGTTTGATGCTGGGTTTGCTCCTTCGTTGATTAAATTTCACGTGGACAGGATGCAGCGTTCGTAATTATCGGCGCCGGATCATTAAAAACTACTCCTCGTTTCTGGTACGCCACGGTACGGAACAAATGATCGCGGTTAGCGCTATTATAATGCGAACACGGAGATCGTTTTGCTGGAAGAAAATAATTGGAACGATCCGGCTTATGTACGAAGAAACTTTCTACGAAGACGCCATGATTTTCTTGAGCTGTTAACATGGTGCTGGGGGTTGTTATAAAAGTTTAATGACACGCAAAACCGTGTACCGTCGAACATCTTCTACGTAGGAAGAATATTTGTAATAGTAACGATCATTGTAACAATTATATTACACGATACATGCTCTAAATTCAGCTGCTATTGAAAACATGAAGGTCTAAAAGAAGTTTTAATGATTTAAAAGCATCCATCCAATTGCGATAAGTTATTCCAATGTTGTTTCAAAAGTTATTCTACGATCATCGATACTTTATTATATATTCTTCTGCCTTTGTTTAATTGAAGCGCGGAGTTAACAACTTCAACTATAACACTGTATTTTGAATATTAACACATGCTTCGTTTACTGAGTGTTATAAATCAAGATGAATTTAAGGACATATGACATCATCCGTCTGGCTGTCTGTTTGTTCTGGCTAATCTCTGGAACTACTGAATCGATTTGAAAAAAAAATTAATTCGACTCATAATTAATTTCTATACCTAACATCCCACGACGGAAAAAAAGTTTAGATGTACTGGTAGAGGTAACAAATTGTATAAATTGCATTGCCGTGTAATAACATTCGACCATGTGATAAATTCAGCGAAACCATCGAAGCGAAGACTTGCAATCGAGACTTTATTCGTTCAAATATTTATCACCGGCAATATCGCGAACGAAATCGAGCAATTTTCAATCAGCTTCGCCAGGGGGCCTGTTTTCATTAATTCAAAAAACAATTGCCCCCGCTGGATACCCTCGTTAATTACACAAACGGTGCGCACGCCTCCAACGATACATTATTAAATATCCATTTACATGGGATCATGCAAAACAAAAATGCCCAGAACGTATCGATGGAATAATTGTATGTTAATTTTCTACTGTATAATATGTTTTATTAGGATCACAATAATAACAATTTCAGTACAGTTTGATAAAGTGGTCTTACGAAATTTGCTTCATTAGTTATTAACCCAGTCGCGACCGGCAGATGTTTTACGTTTCCAATACCGAGTACTAACGAAAATAATAAAATTCTGAAGCTGGATATCGCAAATTTGCATCGTTAGAGCGAAGATAAAAATTACAAAGTATGTTTTGAAATATCAATGTTGTACATATGTGGTGTATAAAATAAAACGATTTTCATAATTTGTACATTTGCTTGTAAGGTAGATAATAGACAGCCAGGAATAGAATTTGAGGTGACGTGAATTCACGTCAGCGGTACCAAAAATGTATTAATAGACAAGCTTGCCAACATGAAACAATAAGGATCTATACTTTGCAGGCTTACAAAAAATACTGTTTACTGGTGCTTTTAAATCATGGCTTTGAAGACCAGAAAATTCACGAGTTAAAAGCTCTTACGCCTCTCCTCCCTTTTGCTTTCCTCTAGACCGATACTTTCGACTATCGTCGACCATAAACGTCTACGGAAAGCAGGATGCACTTTTAGAGGGAGTTCTGTAACCTGAAGCTTCGTTGGGAGGCGTTTCGAAGCTAAACGCAAGCTTGAACGTTTGCTCGAAAAGGGACCGAGAACGGTAAGTGGAACGGGATTGGATTCAATAGATGGTCTGGAGTTTGCGGAAGTTTATTACTTACACCGGTTCGTTAAGTAGTTTTGCCTAATCTTCTAGATTTCTGTCGGTTTCCTGTGTACTTGTTGGTCGTCCTGAGTCCGCAACCTAACGGTTGACTGTTAGTTTCGAACACGAAACTTCATTAGGTGTGTTACTGCTTTGCGAAGAGCGGTAATTATGATCATGATCCATTTACGATATTGAAACGGTTGCTTGAAATTGTGATTCGAAACTGGTGCATTGAAAAATATAAAAAACGTGGACGTTTCATATTTTTGACGATTATTCATTTTTAAATGT